TTCAGGCTAGTCCTGGCAGCTGACTCTGGTCACTTAACACTGACACAACTCCTACCAGTATATTCAGGCAGCTGCCGTTCTGCTTTTTCCTGGTAAACGTTGAAGCAAATGGAAGCTTACAGATCTGGGAGATCTCCCAGATAGAATCTTCTTTCCCTGTTCCACAGTTATCCACACCTCGTGCTTCTTTCCTTCTGCAATGTGATTAAGACCCCACACCTAAAATATGTTTTCACTGACCTTGGATGTGGAATGCCCAGAGGCATGTAAACAAACTCGAACAAATGAATGGGGGAACCAGTAGTATCAGTTGTGTTCTTGCCTGCCAGATTTTATTTTTGCGTAAATATGTTTGTGGAGCATTTAAAATTGAGACGGTAGTCGTACTGCAATCCGCGAGGTACGCAGTTTAAAAATCTTTGAAGAAGTAGGCTGCTCAATTTATGTAAAGCAGAAAGCTACTTTCAATATTTAACTCTCCAAGAAGTAGTTCAATGAAATGAACTTCTTCAATGAAATGGCATTAATTACATTTTTCCAAATAGTCATACTAAAAGTATGACCATTAAGTAACCACAGTAGATATGAGAGTCAAACCAGTAAAACTGTGTGTGACACCAAGCCAGTTGTAGCTTTAACCCTAGTGATTTTTGTTTAACAAGACCCATTTGTCAATTTGTTTTTAAATTTTCTGGTTACAGAATAAATGCATTATAGGAAAATAATTGATTTATCTGATCTTTGCATATTACACATTTTAAATGTAGGAATTATATATATACAGTTTTAATGAAGCACAACACAGGTTGCACTAGCAGAAGCAGTGTAGTTTTGGGACAAAGCACTAATGTGTGGAATTATCCTACGTGCACAATTGATGTATACTTGTGGTGTTAATGAAAATGTAACACTAAACATTGTGACTGAAGCCAAACTCTAATTTATATCTTCTTTCACGTGAAATGCCTGCTTTAATGTCCTGGCTTTGTACATGTTTTGTAAAGATAACAGATACATATATTTCCAAAAAACAAAAGCCAGCAATACCAAATAAACATTATTTTGTGTGCATTTCTGTGTCAGTGATCCTTCTACCGGTTCAATCAGGCTCATGCTGTATTGAACTTTTTTTGAACATTGAAAGAACAAAAAATGAAACTTCTCTCCCTCCCAGTTTTCACATTGCTATACATTTCCTGAGCGTTTCGACAACAAAGAACTGATGCATTCAAATCTGATGAAATGCGGACGGTTTCAAATTGTAATTACCAAGTGCAAAACCAAACCAATCAAAATAGTCTTAAAAGGTGAGTTAATAGCTTAATATGAGTCTTGATACAATTTGGAAATGATGTGACAACACTGTTTGTCTCTTTAATTCAGAGTACAGTAATACCATATAGTGTTCAGATTTTATTAAAATGTGTTGCGAAGCTCCAGAAGATATGGGTGGAGAGGTGTGTTTTTTTTTTCATTCTTACAAAAAAGGATTGGGGGGCCAGAATATTGGAAACTACAACAGCGTCATTTCGGTTTACATCTGCATTGATGGAATCATATTATAAATTGACACAGTGCTGATATTTTAGGGATACGTGCTGATGTTTTAGATGTAAAGATGGGAGATCCGTGTGATTTTATAGGCTCTCAAAAGGGTCCTGTAAAAATTGTAATTGCTTTAATATAACAATGAAAGTGCTATTCAATGATGCATTGAAAATCCAGAGAGACCAATCCGCCCCCATGAGTTTTTTAAGCCAGAGCAGCGATGCTCCGCTCCGGTAGGTGGCGCTATGAATTTCTGGGAACCCTGTGGCGGAAAAATGGCGTCTAATTTCAAAATGGAACAGTCCATGTCCGGTGGGGGAATGGGGACGCTTGTAAACGAGCAGTTTTTTATTCGTCAACCGGACATTTACACTCCAGCACACTTCTGCCGTGTTATTCTCGTCTAGTAATTACAGTTTATATTTTACACACGCCATGACCTTCACTTGCCTAACTCGCATTTTCTCTCATGGTACCCCAGCCCTCCCCCCCACCCCCGTTTCGAGCGGCGGGAAGTGAGGTTTCCCAGGCGATTCAGAAGTTTTCGCGGGAGAAAGATGAAAACATGAGCAGCTGAGTTGCCGTTTCCAGTTAACCTCAGCGTTAAAGGCGAGGCTGGATAAGACCAAGCCTGTACGTGTATAAACCGATATAAATGTCAGGCGGCGGCCTTTCGTAGTCAAGCAATTTCGGTGATCGTCAATTTTAATTGTTTTCGTTGATCGGAAGAGTTGAGTCGTTTCCGATTTGTGTAAAACAAAATACAGATCAGTAAGGTCGATTTGTGTTGTATTGAAGCGAAACTAACGTCTCCACGACGATGTGATAAAACTGACTATTTATTCAGTAGACTTATTGCCGACGCTTGTTGGACCTCTCCAGCGCTGTGCTCTTTATGCTGTAGAAACGGTGGAGTAAAATGAGGTGAGATGATCGCCTACTGTGGGTTTTGGTGGGATGAGTTGTTTAGTTCACAGTGCGTTTGTCCGATGATGGTGACAGGACGGGTTTCCTTCTTGTGTCTGTGCCAGTGCGAGAAAGAGACGAGCTGGGAAGACGGTGAAAAACGCCCAGGATGGTTCTCCAGTAAGTTTTCTCTCGTCTGATACGTCGTTCCCGATTTGTTTTTTTGTTTTGTTTTTTAACTCCATCGCCCAAGTGCTATGCAGCGAGGAGGGACATGGAAAAATGAAGACCGATTTATTGAATGAAATGGTCAAATCGCCTTGTTAGCTCTCTCGCGATCTGTTTTATAATAGTAATGATAAACTTCATTTTATAGAGCGCCTTTAACGGTGGATTCTCAAAGCGCTTTACAGGATGACAACAACAATAAATAAAAAAAGAATACACAAGATAAAACACGATTACAATATATAGAGGAGACCGTGGATGGTGGTACTTAGTATAGTAGGAGCAGAGGGGTGAAGAATGGAACCAGTTCAGTAAAGGCTCTTCTGAAGAAGAGGGTTTTTAGTCTGGATTTGTAGGAGTTTAGAGAAGGTGACTCTCTGATGTCCTTGGGCAGCGAGTTCCAGAGCTTGGGGGCATAGCAGGAGAAATTTGTTTTCCACAGATGTGTATAGGAAGTCTCTAGTCGGAAATGTGGGAGTCTTAGTTCTGTTTCCAATCATTGTTTTTCGTGTGAATCTCTCCATCAGCGTCACCTACTATATGCTGTGTTAACAACCAGTCTACTAGGGCCGTATCCTTTGCCAGTACAGTTCTGCATAAAATGATTGGTGATCCTCAGTACTGTACTTCTGAAAATTAATTCATATTGCCAATGTCAGTAAATGCCGTAGTAACTTTTCTTCTGCAGCAGTTTTCTGTTCTTCAGCAGTTACGGTATCTCTTATAACCTCATTAATCCGCGAATTCCCCGGCTCTGACCGAGGTACTCTTAAACTGTTGAGTGAGTGAATGTGTTTAACAAAGGCGCTTTATGACACCTTCAGACAGTCCTTTCTGGTGAATATTTGTATATCGTGTCTTCAGGTGAGCGACGATCCTGTTGATCTGCTTCCCACCCAGAAGTTTACATCTCCGAATATCTCCAACCTGTCGTTAATCCCCAGAACCAGCTTCTTCGATGAGGAAGAGAGCGTCCCTTCTGGTCTGTCTGTGTTTTGTACTACAGTAATGACACCCTGGTCATGTCACTGTCCGAAGTGTTGAATTCTGGGGTGGGGGAGGGGTTATAAATAATTCCGGACTGCAGTACCTGTGTGGAGTTTGTCTGCTCCCCTGTCATCCATGTAGGTTTCCTCCAGGTGTTAGGATTTTCTTCCACCTTCCCAGGGACAGGCGGGCTAAATGAATTGGAGTCTCTAAACTGTCCTGTCCGGGGTGTGC